TAAGCTTCCAGTAGATCGTGCTGGACCAAGTGGAGAACCACACGCATATAAAACAAAGCTATACAAAGAATATAAAAACAAGCAACCAAACAAAAACCACTTCCCCTACCTCACAACATATACAAACATCAACACAAAATATAAACTTCAGCATAAGAACATCTAAATGAGAATAAACATGGGAGGATAATCTTAGTGACCTAGGATTTAGCAAAGAACTTCAAAACAACCCACAAAAAGCACAAACCATAAAGGAAAAAATAAACTAGATTTCATCAAAATTTTAAAAAAGTCTTTGCTCTTCAAAAGACGACATTGTTATAAAAATGAAAAGGCAAGCTACAGATTGGAAGAAAATATATGAAATCATACATCTAAGAACAAATTTGTATCTAGATTATGTAATAATTAGGCAAAGAAACCAAGGGGGAGAAAGGGGCAAATGATATGAGTGTCCATTCAAACCTTTGAATGGACAGCAAACAAGCACTTGAGGAGGGCTGGGGATGCAGCTCAGTGTTAGGGGGCTTGTCTAGTGAGCATCAGGCCCTGGGTCTGATCTCTAGCACAGCAAAAAACAAAGACCGTTTGAAGAGATACTTAATACCTTAGTCATTAGGAAAATGCAAATTAAAACTACTATGAAATATTATCACATACTTCCAGAATGGCCAAAATTAAAAAGACTGATGGATCAAGTGCTAGTGCTGACAAGGACGTAGAGCAGCTGGAACTTTCACACACTACTAGTGCAAGTATTAAATGGTATAATTACCTTGGAAGATACTTCAGTAGACTTTCAACTCCAAAACCTGATCAACATGAATAAATATGTAACATAGCTACTAATGGATTACTATTCAGTAAAGAAAAAGGAGCTTTTTTTGTAGGGAGGGGGTGCTGGGGATTGAACCCAACAGTGCTTTACCACTGAGCTACATCTCCAGCCCTTTTATTTTTTGAGACATGGCCTCAGTACATTGCTGAGGCTGGCCTTGACACTGTGATCCTCCTGCCTCAGCCTCTGGAGTTGCTGGGATTACAGGTGAATGCCACTGTGCCCAGCAAAAAAGGAATCATTGATCTACACCAGAACATGCATGAACCTCAAAATCAATATGCTCAAAGAGACCAGGCCAAGGGGTGGATGGGCATTTTGAATGATTCCACAGACTTCTTAAAAAAAAAAAAAATGCTAACTAACCTACAGCAACGGAGAGATCTCCTGCCTCATCTCCACACAGGAGGAAAGGATTACCAAGGGACAAGAGGAAATCTCCGGAAATGATGGATATGTTCATTTAAAAACTTGATTATGGCAATGGTGTCACAGGTATATTTATGGGTCAAAATTTATCCAACTCTACACTTCAAATGTGTAATTTATTTTATGTTAATTATATTTCAATAAAGCTGTAAAAAAAAAAAAGCAACTGTGAAGGCAGGTAACAGATGCAACAAGGTCTGATGAAAAGGAGGGATGGTAGGCAAAGAGAAAGATGCTTCTTTGTTAGAGAAGAATGAGACCCCACCTGAGCTCAGCCCTCCTGGGGGAGGAGGAGGTCTCCTTTGGGGAAGTTTCTTCTCTCCTCAATAAAAAAAGATAACTGTCACACCTAGGATCCCAGGAGTATCATAGAGACTGAAAAATAAATTTGAGAATGCACATAATGCACTCTCCACTCAGATTAGGTTACAGAAGGTATCAATAAGCATTAGCTTTTCTTTCTGGAGCATTCTGCATGTCCTCCAAAACACCTGTGCACAAGACAGCTTGCATATTCTAATTGAGGTTTGGAAAAGTTGCTCTTGGCTTTAAGAGTCAGGCCCTAGCCCTAAGGAGACATTCTGTAGCTGCAGCTGGGCAATAGAGCCTCACAGGCTGTGAAATGAAATGACCATGGACTTACAGACATGTACCCTTGCCTGCCTGTCTGTGGGGGGTTCCCTGATACTTCAGCTGGAGACCCAGGAGAGGGAGCCAGCTTCCTATCCTCACAGAAAAGGCCAGCAGCTGCAAACATCTGCAGGAAGTCTTGGGTCAAAAAACTGTTCTCTCCCCCAAACCCTCAGTATGCCTGAAGCCACAACCTACATTCACAGTAAAAGAGCCTCAGAGCACCTGATGACAGATTCTGTTCCCTCTTAGTTCTGCATATATTTTTTCCTACAGGAACTTAGCTCCTGAATGACTGAAATCCTGACTCTTTCCCACCAGATACAGCTGACCTATAGCCTCATTATTCTCCGAGTCTGGCCCAGGGATCAGCAGCATCACTGAGGAGCTGCCTAGAAATGCACAATCTTAGCTCTGCCCAGACTTCCTGAACCATCAACTACAACAGAACCAGCCCTTGAAGGGATTCATATCCACAAAAATGACAAGCAGAAGCTCTTTGAAAGACAGTAGGTTCTGCTCAGCACATGTGCTTGGCCACAACCCTAACAACTCTGAGATTCCAAGGCTCCCCATTAGTAGCACCACCAGCACCACCTGCAGCACTTTCCTTTCCAGAGCCCAGTGCCTCCCAGGTGTGACCTCATCCAATCACCATGACAACCCTAAACCCACAAGGGATGTGATGTGCTCAAATTCACATGCAGTCTGCAGGAAGACTACAGAGTCCACAGAGCCCACACTGCCACCCTACAGCCCAGCTGTACGGGCCCTGTTAATCCTATGCCAAACTCAAGAGTGGGCACCTCCCAGAGGTGATGTGACCAGATCTAAATGAACCTCTGTGGGATAGAAGGCCAGGAAAGGGGTGCGAGTGGTGGGGTGCATGCCATGACTGAACAGCAGTGCCTGCTGTCAGACAATGGCACCTGGCAAGCACAGGCTGAAGGGCTCTCAGCAGCCCCTCCTAGCAGACATTAGCAAATCATACCATAAAAGCCCTTCTGAACAGGAGCCCAGCAGCAGCAAGCCTCACCAGCTCACCCCTGGCAGCCTGTCTCCTCACTCCTGAATTCCACACCCAGTGGCAGCCCTCTCCCTCATCCATTCAGTTCCAGAGCTCCAGGCCCAAAAGGCACCTCCCTTCTTCTAAGCCAGCAAGCCAGTATTTCTAAATATCATTTCGTTTCAGTTCCATCAAAGACTTGAATGGCTTCTGTGGGCTGAACTGACCAGCTACAACACTGGGAACATTTTCTAAAGAGTCAACACTGTGGTGGTCCCATTTAATTGCCTTGGAACACACACTGTTCAAAAGGTGGCATCTGTTGGGACATCACTAACTCTTCCATTTTAAAAACACAAGTCAACTAAAATTGTTGCACATATACCATCACTCACAGCCCTCACCCTCACCCCCACCCCCCAGAACTTACTCAAAGTCTGCCTGTAAGTGACTGAAGCAAGACTCTGCAGGTGAGTCACATGAGTGATTGGTGCCTACCTACTCACACACCAGCACCAGGCATTGTGTAGAGCCACCAACTATGGCCTGAAAGTCCCCCAATAGCCCTCAGGGATGTAACAGATGTAACAACATGATGCAAAGGAACCTAACCAGAAGTCACAGGAAATTTTACCAGCACCTCCTTCCCCAGACTGCAAAGGCAGGACCAGGCCCCCACCTCAATGTTTGCCAGCAGCCAAGAAAGCCCGCCCTTTCCAGCAACAGGTGGGAGGGGAGCAAGGGCCAAAGGAGCTGCTGGTGGGTGCTCACATAGGACATAGCCCAGCTGACTCATAAACACACCAGCGCTCTCTTTTTGTCCATTCTCTGCCTACAGTTTGACCTATAAGTGCACAAGACCTAGGTTTTGCTCAAGAGCTTGGAACAACGGCATATAGTAAGGACCTGATCAATACCAACTGATAGAAGGATGGAAAGAGCTCCCTGTTCTCAGAATGTGGGTGAGAACATTCAATATTACAAGCATCTTGGGGAGGTCTCCTGCAAGTCAGGATCTGTAGTCACCAAACATGATTTGTCCCTGGGTATCTAGATGCCACTCCAAAAGGGCCAGTGATCCTCATGAAGAACATAGCAAAGGGTAATATCTTTGGGTAGACTGTGGGGACACTAGACCTGGCAGAGAGATGTCACCTCTCTTGTCCCACTAAGGCTGTGGTGGATGGTGGTACAGGCTCTGTTACTGCTTCAGGCAAATATATATACTCAGCAAGTCCAAATGGCTTTCAGAAGAGTCCTTATTTTCAAAGCAGTGGTCCTGGAAGTTACCAGGACCACAAAAATTTTCTCCAACTTACCTTCTTGGCAACTGTAAAATTATTCCAAAGGATTACATAAGCAGGGAGAAAGGAAAGCCATGTGAGATTTTTGCAAAACCAACATTAAAACACTGTGGAAACCAAACATCATAATCTAGCATGGTAACTCAGTGATAGAATTTATCTGCAAGGTGGTGGCGCTGTTTGACATGGCAAGACAAGGAGAGGCCTGTGCCATACAGTGGCTAAGGTGAGGGCATGGTGGAGGACCAGCAAGACTCTCTAGACCATTGCCACCAAGAGTCAAATCAACTGGTCTTTCCCCATCTTCCCCACTGGGAGCTGGGCACCTCTGGAGGTCCTGGGGTAAGTTGGACCACTCAAAGGTAACCGGTCTAGAGTGGACCCATGAGGGTCTCCAGCTCTGGCCCTAAACCACCTGCATCCTACAAGAGGCGAAAAGGCAGCAAAGGAGACCCCAAAAGGTCAGAACCCCTCCCCCACCCCAGTGGCTGAATGTCAGAAAACTAAACCTACAATGAGATTTGCAATTCCTGTCATCTAATGTCCAAGTCAAGATGGTCTCCAAAATGAGTTCCAGGTGAAGTACTGGCCTGCAGAGGGGGCCACATGCTTTCTTGCTTTCTAGGTAAAATCGGGCAAAGAACACTGAGGAGATGGGGACAAAGAAGCTTTGCTTTTCACTGCTATTTCCTTCTATAGATCACTTGCTCAATTTCTTCAAAATTTGAAAAACAATTTTAAAAAGCTGTTTCTTTAAGACTGCATTTTTCAAGTTTTCCCCTTTAACTCTACAGGTGGTACCCAACACAGCTGACAACAGCAACAGAAAACAAAACAGTGAGATTAAGGGTAGGTATTGGAATATGTGTTTTTACTATGCCCTACAACATTAAAGAGAAAAAGTATCAGGCTGCAGATGTAGCTTAGTGGTAGAACACTTGCAGAGTGTGTATGAGACCCTGGGTTCCATCCCCAGCACTGTACAGTATTGGTCCTGGTCCTTATCTGTCATTACAGTAGAACAGCTCTGTTCAGGCGACCTGTGACCAAAGCCAGGAAACCCTCAGCCTTGTCTCAATCTCACCTAAGCAGCAGCTCCTCCTTCGACCCCTTCCTCCTGGGTCCTTGCCCCATGGCTGCACTGCCTACACTCAGAGCTCCTCCAGTCCCAGGCCCAGATACTTCCTTCTCTCACTCCATTTTTCTGCTCTTCCTGTGCAGTCCAATCTCAGAAAACTCTAAATCCACATCATAAGCCCAGGTGCCTCATCGGCCACATCTCAAAGGTCAAATCTAGCTGGTGACATTCACATACCTACTTTATGGTTCCCCAACTTTCTAAACTGTAGAATCTGGCGTGATGCTAATGGAGCACACTGAATAAGTGAGGGCAGGTCCCAGCACCTTGATGGTATGCATGCTCCTTGCCCTTAGTATCTGTGGTCTAGCCTGGCCCCTCTGGTCTTTCTCTGCTCTGAGAACATCTACTGAGCCACCACTGTTGTCACATGTGTGCCTTTCCAAACCTCAACAGGCCCGGGAAGCAATGGGAACATCATCCTTTGACAAATGGAGACCAGGAGATTCCGAAGGGAACACTCCTGAGGTGGCTTTGGGGCCAGAGAATGCCAGACAAATCCTTGAGCAGTGCTCAAGTGCTCACTATGAGCCAAGCTGTGCAGAGAAGTAAGTGTGAGACTAATCCATGTCCCTTACATCCAAGTGACTTCCCTCTCCTACTCCAGAGCCAGTAACAGCTACACAGTTGCAACTGTGCACTGCGCCTTCTCCAATTGCTGGGCATCCCCCTCCTTTTTTTTGCAGTTCTCCTACTGTAGCCACTACTGGAATGTACATCTTCAAAAATATTCTCTTCTCATTTTTTCCCCTTAGAAATCAGTTTCTAGGAGTTCAATTTTGCTCCAAGAGCCCAGACAATTTTTGGCAATTGGTACTACCTTAACTGTTTTTGATTCTTAGCCTCCACAGTGTGATGGCTCCAATTCAAAAAGGTGGAAGAAGGGAATCAAATATGTTGTACCCTGCAAAAAGTCCTAGGGAGGTAAGCCTTCCTTCCTGGCAAAGCCATCACCTATAGTGTTCAGGGATGTTCTCTTTGTTATGTAACCCTTCACTGTGCATAATATTAAGGTAGTGTGTCTTCGAACTTGAACATCAGCAGGGAGGGAGAAGACCCAGCACAGATATGGTGAACAACTTCCCAGGACTGGCACTGAAGCCACGCTGCCTACACAGCTGACTGTAGCCTCATCCATTGAGAGCACTCATGCACCCCCACTCCTTGTACAGAGAGTAAAAGAGAAAACAGGCTGCCTCTCTCCTACCAGCTCTAACTTAGAGATAGGTATGTGCCATCTATCTACCTGGGCATGGCCAAGACATGCCTGCAGGGACATGATGGCACAAGGTGGGCATGATCCTTGGATTTTATGCAGATCAGCAAGTTTGAACCATGAGAGGCAGAAACAGGAGTGACAGGATCAAGGGGTCTCCCTTGTCCTTAGTCCTTGACCCCTGTCTCTTCCCACCTACCTGGCTTCCTAGCCCACGGCCCTTGTGCTACACTGCTATAGCCCCAAACCTGAGAATAGCTAGCCATGTGACAGGCCAACCAGAGGCACATCTCAAACCATGTCCCAGGACGATGTCAATAGATGTGCAATCGTGCATCCCATACTGTGCCCAGAGCAAGCTAGCACTTTTCACCCACCTAGTACAGGGTAACAAATGTTAGAGGGTAACCAAACACCCCAGACCCTCTTGTCTCAGACCCCTGAAAAGGACAAGCCTGCTGAATGTGTCCACCAGATATGGCCAAGATGGTAGTAGTGCCTGGATCTTTCTCCAGAAATACCGGGTGCTTTTAGGACATTCATAAAGCATGGAAACCACAGCCTAGGATGACAATCCCATTTGTTATTCTTATGTCCCTGTGCCCAGTGCAACTGGCTGATGGCCACCATCTCAATTCAGATGAGGAGATAGAAGCTCAGAGAAGGGCTTGCCCAGAGCCAGGTCCAGGTTGAGCAGGAGTTGAACTACTGTCTGTCTGATTCTCCATCTAAGGATTCCCCTGCCGCATATGCTATATCCTGCATCCCCAAATGACAAATTCTAAGGCTATCTTGGAAAAACCTACTGGGGGCAAGCAGTTGGCTTCTCACTGTTGCTTGCCACTGTCCTTCCTAAATAGGCAATATTTTTTTTAGTTGTTGATGGACCTTTATATAGTTACTTACATGTGGTGCTGAGATTCAAACCCAGTGCCTCACACACGCAAAGCAAGCGCTCTACCACTGAGCTACAACTTCAGCCCCTAAATAGGCAATATTTAAGTTAGATATGGGAAATAACCAATCAAGACACTCACACCTTGGTGAGCATTAAGATCAGTTTCAAAGATGGAAAACATTAAAGGAACTCCCACTCCCACCTGGGCTCAAGTTTGCCCTCTCCTATCCTGGTTCCTAGCAGTACTTGACACTGCTGCCTGATGCTTTTCATCCTCATCCACCTACACTGTCACCATGGCATCACATGGAGATATATATGGGTCAGGGATTATGACTTTTTGTTTTATTTCTTTTCACTACTAGATTTAGTCTCAGGAACATTATCCCAGTTCTCAGCTACTGTTGGGATTCATTATATTGGATTTGTTTGTCACTGCAGTACATACACATATATTTATACCTGTATTTATTTATATGTGGTGATGAGGATCGAGCCCAATGCCTCACACTTGATAGGCACTGAGCTACAGTCCCAGCCCCCACATGGCTGCTTTCTAAGGCTGTTTGCAAACTACTTTCATCATGGCCCCAGGCAGATCTAAGCATGGATCCTCCCTTGGGCTCAGATACCACATAGGTTCTGGTGACACAGCAGGGATGCCCCTGTCTGCCTTCTTTGCAGATGCATCTCTTCATCTTCATTAATTCACAGCACTTGCTGGTGACATGTTCTACTCCCTTTGCCCTAGGGTTTGGAACTCTATTCCTCTATCTCCTTAACACAGTAAATAAAATCCACAGCATGTGCTACCAGTGAGAAGTCATAGTTGTCATTCGCTTGTATACCCTCCTTTTGCCACTGAACTGTGTCTACTGTAGTTAGTCCTTGACAGCCCTCTGGCTTTATGCCCTATCACCCTGGCATTCCACATGGCCACAGACCCTTCTATCTGCAACAAATGAAGATTTCACTTCCAACACTGGTACATGAGACAAGTCGTGTTGTGCCCCTTGTCTGTAATGGGACAAAGTGTTGGTGAGAAAATGTACTATAATGACAAACAAATCCAATATAATGAGTCCAACAGAAGCTGAGAATTGGGATAATGTTCCTGAGACTATATCTAGCAGTGAAAAGAAATAAAACAAAAGTTATTTTTAAAAATACAGCATGTTTACTGGGCAGAAGAAAAGTGAGACCAAATCTCTGATCCCAAACTTATCAAATCTCCCCTACAGATGACACACAGCCTCAGACAGCTCCTGGAAGGACCCTGAAAGACCCTGGAAACCTTGGGAGAGATCACTTCAGGCAAGGGTATCCTATGCCACAGGACTATTTTCTCTGGGTTATCCTTTAAATTTTTTCCTTGTTACTTTGATTCTAAGCTAGAACATTTGGGTTTGGATGATATTTGGCTGGTTGCCCCTGCCCCAAGATCCATTTAAATAAATGCATAGCTATAAAAATAAAATGTGCTCCCCTTTCAAACCCAGAAAGTCCTCTTCATTGTGGGAAACAGTTATCCCTCTAAACCCACCTCCATCCTTGGACCCTTCAGAGAGCTAGAGACTTTGCCCCTCCCAGACAAACCCACACCACACACACACACACACACACACACACACACACACACACACACACAAATTGTTGACATTACTCCAGACATCTCTGGGACCTGCCAGAAGCAGACAGGAGTACTGGGCAGCAGCTGGAGGGAAGAGCAAGGCCATGACGCTCCAAACGCTTCTTTTTCTTACCCTGAACCCCATGTTACAGGGGCAGTGGGGGAGGCTAGGAACAAGCCCTGAGGCACTGTTGCCTTCCAATTGCCCTGTGAGCTCCTGACCACAGATTCCCTCACTCCTTTGGGGGCCTTCTCTGGGGGTGGCAGGTGTTCATCTATCCATGATCCCGCTGTGTATCTGATCCTGCACAGGTCACTCAGAACAGTGACTGGAAGTGGGGAATAACAGTCCTCTTGTAAGCCCTCACCAATGTCAAAAGTGATCACTGACTGGGTCCCTGCCCCTGAATTTTGATCTGGCCACAGAATCCACTTTAATACATAGCTTCACTGAGCCTTGTGATGCAAGGGAAGCCCGACCTCTCCTTTTCATAGATAAGCCCAGTAATTCATCGAGGCTCCTCCAAATGCATGCTAGTCAGTAACATCCAAAGGTGGCCCCACACATCTGGTCAAGAATTTGACACCTGCCTCCACCCTCACCAGTCCCCAGAATTCCTGTCAAAGAAATCCTACCAGGCATAGTGGCCCACACCTATAATCCCAGCTCCTTCAGAGGTAGAATGATCACAAATTCAAGCCTGGGTAACTTAGCATATCACACTGTCTCAAAATAAATGGGCTAGGGATATAAATCAGTACTTGTCTTGCATGCCTGAAGCCCTTGGTTCAATAACCCTAGTACCACAAACAAAAACAACCCAAGTCTCAGTGCTACTTTCTAAGCCCCTATTTGCTCTCCAGAGCCCTTGCCTCCTGCCAGTGGCTTGCAACAGTCTTCCTGGTGTACCTCTAATACTAGCCCCAGCATGAGATGAGGCCTGAGAAGTCCTCTCCCCTAAACTGTTACTTCCCAAAGCTAAGACTGCAGGCCATGCTGTTGTAGAAGCTCTTCTGGAAGATGCAATGAGAAGAAAGGGTTGGTTCTCCACAGTCTTGGTCAGGTCAACTGGGCGCTATTATATTTATTAAGAAATTCTATAAACAACTGTGCCTTTTTACAAGTAGCTCAAGACAGAGAGATCACCTAATTTGCCTGAGGTCATACAGCTGGGTTTAGGGCCCAGGCAACCTGGTTCCTAAGCACTAACTCTTTACTACACATGTAGCTACTCTCTCAGCAATCCAGATGGAGGATAGCTGTGGCCTTGAAGGAGCTGCTGGCCTCATTGGACAGATGTAGATTCAAACCATGCAGGTGGGTGGGGCTGTGAATGCTCAGGGTATTCTAGGACCTCTGAGAAGGGGACAGAGGGAGTCTTTGAGGAGGTCTGAAGAGTACAGAGTGGGAGTCTATAGGCCAGACTAGGAAGGTGAGGCCATGCCTGGTAGAGGTGGGTAGGCAGCACAAACATCCAGGGGACAGAGCAGCAGAGAGCACCAGGCAGGTTGCAGAGGATGCACATGGGCAGGCAAAATAATAGATCAGAGCATACTGAAGGGAGTGACATGGTCAGAGAGCATGCTCTAACTACCTGGGAAGAACTCCCAGCTGAGGCAAGCACCGCCTGGCCTCAGGGAGTGAGCTGATGAGGGATGCTCAAGGACTCAGAGGGGAAGGCTCAGTTAAGAACTGTGGAGCTCAGCCTGTATGGTGGGCTCCACAGGTCTTCCCCTCTGAGTGCTGTGGGGCATGGGGTGGAGAGGACAGAAGTTGCAGCAGGTGTGGAGGATGCAGCTGGTCACTGCTACCCATTAGCTGGACATCAGGGAGTTGCTGTCTGCTCATCCTATTGATGTATGCTTTCATGTTCACTCATTGTGTGAGGTTCTGAGCACAAAATTCCTCTGGATCACCATTACATCATTCTGAGACACCAATACACTATTGATCACGAAGGAAAAAAATCTGGTGCCAAACGGAGAACAACCTGTTCCCAAAGACACAGAAATATGACCAAAACAGACCCTTCACTCCTTCTCAGAGTGATCCTGAGGGCTGGGTGACAAAGCCAGCATACCAATAAACAGGACCCAATATGGCATACCAGGCTTCTCTACCATACCTGCCTGAGGACCTCATTTCCCCTTCCCAGGCATCTCCAGGTTCCCCCAGAAACATTCTAGACTCAATTCAAAAACAACAGATATAGGCAGTCCCAATTCTGGGCATGTATTCAAAAGAACTGAAAGCAGACTCCAACAGATATTTGCAAACCCATGTTCAGAGTGGCATTAATCATATGGCTAAAATGTGAATGCAACCTAAGTGTCCATTGATGGATGGTAAACACAGTGTGGACTATCCACACCACAGAATATTATTCAGCCTTTTAAAAAGAAAGAATGTTCTAGCTGGGTGCAGTGGTGCAGGCCAGCATTTCCAGTTACTCAGGAGGATTGAGAATCTGAGTCCAGCCTTGGCAACTTATTAGCAAGAACCCATTTCAAAAATTTCCTAGGTTTTTTGGTACTGGAGATTGAACTCCGGGGTACTTACCCACTGAGCTACATTCTCAGTCTCCCCATCTTTTTCATATTTTTTAATTTAGATACAGGATCTCACTGAGTTGCTTAGGGCCTAAGTTGCTGAAGTCAGCTTTGAACCTGCAATCGTCCTGTCTCAGCCTCCCAAGCCACTGGGATTACAAGTATGTGCCAGCCACCTTTTAAAAGTTTTTTTAAAAAGGCTGGGGATGTAGTTCAGTGGTAGTGTATCCCTGGGTTCAATCTCCAGTACCAGAATTAAAAAAAGAAAGAAAAGAGAAAGAAAGAAAAAGAAAAAGAACATTCTGACACAAACTACAACGTGGGCGAACTGTGAGGCCATTGTGCTAAGTGAAACAAACCAGCCACAGAAGGACAAATCCTGTATGATTCCACTTACATGAGATAACTATAAGAGTCACATTTGTACAGACAGAGTAGAATGAAGGATATCGGGGGCTCTGGGAACAAGAATGTAGAGTGTTTTAATGAGTATAAAATTTTTAACAACATGAAAATAGTTCTGGAGTTGAAAGGTGGTGACAGATGTACAACATTATAAATATATTTAATACTACTAAAGTGAACATTTAAAAACACTTAAAGGGTTAAATTTTATGTGATGTGTTTTACCACAATACAGGACCCCGCCCCCCCCCCCAAGAAAAAAAACCACATACAAACACAACAGCATAGCAACCTGGTAGAGGCCTGAGCTCAGAGGAAGTCTTTCTGTTAGGGCATTCCTTAGGTATATCCGTCAAATCATTCTGCTCCTCTTCTGCAAAGGTGCTACCTGACTATTGCAAAGGTGTATATAGAGCTGCATATACAAATGGACAGGACAGCCAAAGAAGAGAGGGAAGGGCTGGGTTTAGAACCATGACCCGGAGAAGCTCCTGCTGTGAGGTCCCAAGTAAGTTACCCCTCTGGATGATCTTCCATATCTCTAAGACAAGCATGGTAATCACTTTCTGATAGGACTGTGGGAGGAACTGATGCCCAAGTATGGTGGCAATCTGTGTAAGGGAAATCATGGAAACCACAGCTCTAGAGCTACAGTTAAACCCAACATACTTAGGAGTGCTCAAGAGCCTTTCTGAAGGTTAAAGCAATGTCAATGGGAGTTATATGTGGGTGGCATGTAGACAGGCACTCTCCCTCAGACCCCAGGTTCAGCCCAACAGGCCTCCTGGAGTTAATGCCAGCCCTATCTGCACATGTCTTCTCATACCTCACCTTAGCTATTCAAAGTAAGGGAATGGACATCAAGGAAGCTGGGGTATCAGGGAAGAGTCTCTGGCCCAGTAGTCCTGAGAGGGCTCACAGATTGCAGTGTGCATTCCAGGGGCACAGGCTTGAGCAGAGCTGTGATGGAAGCCACCCACCCTACCTGCAAGGGACACCCAAGGAAGTTTCACCTGTAGATTTGTCACTGTAAAAACCATCACCCTAAATTTTTACTGCCTAATAGATCTACACACTTGAATACAGAGGCTCCCTTGGATACACCATGTGACATGCACAAGAATATTCACAAAGCATCATTTCATAAGCAAACTTGTAGAAGCCAGCTCCATGATAATGAGCCAGCTCCTGTCATGCAGTACTATATGCTGTGTTAAAAGAGTGTGTGAGACCCCTAACAAGGACTCATGAGGTATAACCAGGACCAAGAGTTGGGACATGCTGAGGGAATTGAGGTAGCTGTAAAATGACTGTCCACATGTCAGAATATATTTAAAACCACAAATAGCCAGGCACAGTGGCACACACCTGTAATTCTAGTGATTCAGGAGACTAAGGCATGAGAATCTCAAGTTCGAGAACAGCCTAGGAAACTTAGCAAGACCCAATCTCAAAATGAAAATTACAGACTAGAGATGTAGTTAGGTGGTAAAGCACTCTGGGCTCAATCTCTAGTCCCCCTGCCTCACACACAATCACCCCATGTTCTAGAGAACATACTCCATACATACAACAAGGGTCCTTTCTAGAAGGACAGAAGACACTGTACTAGGGGGCCTTAACCATAACTTAAAACTTTTTTTTTTGGTACCAGAGATTGAACTCAGGGGCACTTAACCACTAAGCAACATCCCCAGCTCTCTTTTTAATACTTTATTTAGAGACAGGGTTGCGCTGAGTTGTTTAGGGCCTTGCTGAATTGTTGAGGCTGGCTTTGAACTCAGCATCCTTCTGCCTCAGCCTCTTGAGTTGCTGAGATTACAGGCATGTGCCACCATACCCGGCTAATAGTTTTTTATAGGAGGATTATTTACTGCTTGTGTGCTGAAAAATCATCAAGAATA